GGAGGTGGGTTCTGATCTGGGAGGCCTGCGGAGGCGCCGGGGCGCTGGGGCTGCGGCGCTGGCTGCCCCGGTGTGGGGGTGGGGGGCAGTTCCCTCTCCCCGACTCTCCGACTCTCCGGTAGCTCGTCTGCCAGCTCCATGGGCCTCTGCCCCCTGTCTCCTCCCACCTCCTCCAGTCCCGTGAGAGGAGACCTGTACTTCTCACACGTTGGAAGGAAGACTTAAGAATTATCTTCCCATCCCTCCAACCTCTAGGAACGAACTTCCCCTCAGGTAGTTACAACCCTGTTCCCCCGTTGTCGACAGTCCAGTGAGGGCCACTCTCTTTACAATCAAGTGAGCACCCCTGTGGCACAGCTTTTGGAACCAGACGGGTGGGAATTAAACCTCTATCGTTCACAGTGCATGGCTCAGTCAGTTTCTTCCTCTCTGATTCTCAATTTCTTTATTGTTATTTTTTTTAAAGATGTGATAATAACGTGACCTCACGGCTGCAGGGACAGCGTACTGCAGTGTGTGGGAACCCCTCACGCACATTGGATTCTGGGGACCCACACCTGTGAGGGGACGGGGAGGGGAGGGGTAGGGGAGGGCAGAGGAGGGGAGAAGAGAGGAGGGAGGAGTGGGCAGCGATGCAGGCACAGCAGTGGCCTCAGCTGACCCCAGGGCGCCCTACAGCCGATGACCCTTCAGAGGGTCCCCGAGTTTGGGTGGATCTGGAGCCTTTTCATCTCGAGCTGACCATCACTGGATGCAAGCTGCCGGGGGAGGGAAGGGGGAGACGACGACGTGGTCATGCGATGGGGACCTCTCCACACAGGGGAATAAACTCTGATAAACCCTGCCGTCCTGAAGGGGGTCTGGGCCGTGCACCATGGCTTCGTGGAGAAGCAGGAAGCTGCACCGCCTGAGTCCTCGACCCCCTCACTGTTCCCCGTGATGGCACCAGAGCAGGCCATCCACACCCTGAGGCCACACCCTCCAGCCTCCTGCTGGTCCACTCAGGGACCCAACCTGGCAGGGGCAGAGGGCATGGGAGCCCCACAGGGTCAGCCTCTGGGGACCCATGGCAGGACAGAAGATGGGTCCGGGGTGGGGCAATCAGGGACCTGCCCGATGTCCAGCGGGAAGTGTGGGCCGCTTCCCTTAGAGCCTGCCTGCCCTTGCCTGGGCCCTGCAGGTCCTCACCTGGGGGTGCTGCCTCGGATGGACACTCACCTCAGGCCAACAGACAGCTTTCACCAAAAGGCCATTCAGTGAACAAAGGCCCGGCCCCTGATTCGAGCACTTCCGTCTGAGATGGGACACTGGCCACAACCCCAGGTCGTCTTCTCGGCCAGAAGCCGCGTTTTCTCATTTCTCACCTCATCGACAGAACTCTGTTCCTTAAGGGTTGATTCCTCTGTGGGTGGGGGTGCAAGACTGCTCCTCAGTTCATTTCAAACTCTTACCGACAGCCCTGCCTCTATAGGGAAGGAACGACTTTTCTTTGGAGACACTCGGGCTTTGCGGACATTAGCTAAATACAGTCACTCATCGCTTAATGACAGGGATACGTTCTGAGAAATTTGTCATTAGGTGATTTTGCCATTGTGCGAACATCACAGAGTGCACTTACACAAACCTAGGTGGTACAGCCTCCTACACACAGAGGTTGTAGGTACTAATCGAATGAGACCACCGTCACATCAGTGGTCCATCATTGGCCAAAGTGTTGTTATTCGGTGCGTGATTATACAGAAGTACCCCCTTATCTGAGGTTTCGCTTTCTGTGGCTTCAGTTACCCAACACATTTAATGTTCGAAAATATTAAATGAAAGATTCAAGAAGTAAACGATTCATAAATTTTAAATTGCCCGCCGTTCTGAGTAGTGTGATGAAATCTCGTGCTGACCCGCCCGGGACGTGAATCATCCCCTTGTCCAGCGGATCCACGCTGTGTTTGCTACTGCCCTCTGGGTCATCAGATTGACTGTCGTGGTATTGCAGGGCTTGTGATTAAGTAACCCTTGTTTTACTTCATAACGGCCCCAAGCGCAAGAGGAGTGATGCCGGCAATTCGGGTATGCCAAAGAGAAGCCGTAAAGTGCTTCCTTTAAGTAAAAACGTGCAAGTTCTTGACTTAAGGAAACAGAAAAACTTGTATGCTGAGGTTGCTAAGATCTATGGTAAGACCGAATTTTCTGTGAAATTGTGAAGAAGAAAAAAGAAATTCATGCTAGTTTTGCTGTTGCACCTCAAACTGCAAAAGTTAGGGCCACAGTTCGTGGTGAGTGCTTAGTGTAGGAGCAACACAGCATATATAGGATTCAGTACTCTCCACGGCCTCAGGCGTCCGCTGGGGGTCTTGGAACATACCTTCCACGGATAAGGGAGGATGACTGTATACACGGAGGTACAGGGCCAGACGGAGGCTTTAAGCAAAGGAGCAAGGACCCTCTTCCTCCTGGCTTGCCAAGCGCGTGGCCATTTCTTTTCGTCACTGCAGAAGCCCAGACCTGGGCCCACCTGGGATGCGGCCTGAGGTGGCCCCTTGTCCGGGGCAGGTGCTCCATCCTTGATAGAAGGCCATCGACAGCATTGGTGCTAAATCCTCAGCCGCTCAGGGGTGACTCTGATGAGAGCAGCTTCGAGAGTGTCTGGATGCCTGCAAGACAGGACAGCAGGGAACCATTCGGAGATCACAGGACGGGGCCCTTGACCATGGCCCGGGCTGATGTCATGGAACCTAGGCCATGTATACTTCTGAGAGAGCAGGTAATTCTGTATTTTAATGGTTTTATGGATCACTTTGTTGGGTTTGCTTTTTGTTGTGGAGTTTTTTGAATGGTGTATCTAACATAGAGCCCTCGGGGTTGTTCTCTTTCCTCCCCAGAGTTTAAGGAGTTGAGCGGTTTTCTTTTTTTCTTTTTTTGAGCTTCAACCAGTCCTGTTAAGGGGCCAAGTTTGTTTGCTATAATTTACTCTTGAAGGCGAGGCAGCCAGTCCCTCTGGAGTCATCCCTGGGCTGCTGTGTTGCGCCCATCTGTGGGGCTCTCTGGAACATCACCGGGGACCCCTCCCCTTGCCATCTCCTCGAGGGACGCATGTCTGTTTCCCTGGGCGCCCCGGTCAGCGGGGCCCCCAGAGTGCAGAGGAGCCTCAGTGTGGTTCAGCTGTTGTCGTGTCACAAACCATCCTAAAGTTTGGTGCGAAACGACACAACCATTTATTTCTTGCAGTTCTGTGGATCAGAATTTGGGCAGGGCTCAGCGGGGCAGTTCTGCTCCACTGGGGTCGCTCCCGGGGCTGCATCAGCCCGGGAGCTGATGGAGCTGGAATGTCCAGGACGGCCTCCCGTCTCCGGGGCCTCTCCTCGGGGCCTCTGATCAATCATGTGTCCAGCCTGCACCTCTTGGCAGCACAGGGGCCGGGCTCTACTCAGGAGAAAGATAATCAAACCCTCTTAAGGACTGGGCTTGAAAGTCTCAGACGGTCACTTCTACCACAATCTGTGGTCAGTGCAGCAGCCAGACGTGTTCAGTGACGAGCGAGGGGAGAGGAAGTAGGCTCTAGGCCTCATGGGTCAGAGCGGGGATTCAATGAGATCACATCTGGACAAAGCGCAGCACGTGCTGGCACTCAGGCAGTATTCCCCACACAGTTTTCATCCCTGTGACCCACTTTGGTCCTCAGCTGGTGTTTCCCAGAGGGGGAGCATGGTGGTGGCCCCCCTTGTCCGCCCTGTCCTAGGGAGCTTGCACGTGAGGCACTGACGAATGCAAAGCCAGGGCGTGCAGTTGGTGCAAGGCAGGCACGGCCAGATCTCTGTGGCACCTCTCGGTCACCTGACATCTAGAAACAACGGCCTGCAGCCCACACCCCACGCCCTGACAAAGGCCAGATCCTGCCTCCAAGTTCTGCAAATCTCTGAAGTTCTCCAGGGCCCCCAGACCCCTGATGTGGCTCAGTTTGTTTGGACCACCATCCTGGCAGGACGCCCTCCCAGGCCCCACCCACGCGGGTGTGCACAAGTGACCTTGCTCAGGTGTGCACCTCAAGGCTGAAGAAAGGCTGCCTCGTTGCACAGCTGCTGGGGCTACCTGCTCACGCCATGTCCCCTGGCTTCCTGGACTTAGGGGCACCACCTGGAGAACACAACGGGCCCAGAGCATCTGGAGTGGCAGTTGATATCATAGACCTGTGGACCTGTGGATGTCCTAGTTCTTAAAGGTTCTGAGGCCACACGGCCAACAGGGCTCCCCACGTGGGATGGAGCCTCCGTTCTCTTTACTCTCCCTCCCACACGCCCCCCATTTTCTGGGAAGGGTGGTTTGTCCTTCTGTTTATTGCCTGAAGACAGTCACCCACCACCCCTTTTCCCAAGCACTGCCTTCTATTTCTTGGGGTGCATCCAGGGGCTCCCCTGAATAGAGGCAGCTCCTCCCGAGGGTTTCGGGTGGCTGCTGGTAACACAAGAAGCTGTTCATCCTGGAACCAAGAGCCACGGGAGGGCGTGCCAGGGCTACCACCCCAGGATTGGGAGGCCGGGTGGCTGCATGGAGGAAGCACTGGTGCTCAGAGTGGAGGAAAGGGCCATGCAAAGGCCAGCTTCCAGGGACAGGGGTTTGTTCAGGGAGCTCATCATGAAGAAGCTCTCAACCTGACTGCGTACTGCAGTCTCCAGAGGAGGTTTTTAAAATTCCCAAGCCCCGCCCAGGCTGCTTAAACCAGGGTCTCCGGGGGTGGGACCCATGTTATTGTCATGGTGCAGCCGTGAATAAGAGTCACTGATTTAGTGAACGAAAGTGTGTTTGATTTTCAATCAGTGAGTGTTTTTTAAAAACCTAACTGCAGACAAGAAAGGTGCTGGGTACCGGAATGGGAAGGGGTCCGGGGTCCAGGGTGCAGCGCGAGCCTCCCTGAGCCCAAGACGTCTGTGTTTTCCACCAGCAAAGAAGCCAGGCTCCCTAGAGAAGCTGTTTCTCTTCATTCAGCACACGAGGTGAACAGCTCAGACTTCTCTAATTAATTAAGTCAACACAGAATTTGAGACTGGGAGGGTGGTCAGGAGGATGGCCTGGGTTTAACTTCAGACACTATTGGCTGGCTCGGGGGTGAGAGACGAAGCAGCTGTCTGTCCCCGCCTGTGCTTATGTTTGTGGCTGTGACACAAGTAGTAGCACTTGAACATTCATAGTCTGTCTTATGAATTATGCAGGATAGATTTGTATTTGCATTTTCGTAGCAGCACTGAAAATAGAAATCAGAAAGCCTGAAAGTTAGAGCGAGAAGAGACAAGAAGAAAAGGCGGCGAGGAGAGAAGCCAAATGGCATGCTTAGAGCTTCATATTCCAGGTGGAAAGTTGAAGTCATGGAACCAGACAGATCTCTCTTTCTTTCTCTAATTAATTATAGGTTGTAAAGTCAGGGTGTGGGCTGGGTGTATTCCTTTTATTTTTTAAAACCTCCTCTGACAGCTCTAGGCACCCAGGATTTCATCAGTGTCTCCAGGTGCATTGTAATTCATGTGACATGTACACCGATTGCATAACTCGTGTTATTACTGGTGTTTCTCCCTCCAGCCTACTTACATCATCTCAGGAGGGAGAGGAGAAATCCCACAGCACCATCTTACCTGTAAGGAAAAGCTGTCGCTTCTTTCATTTTTTAAAGGAATAACTTGGAATACAAAAATACTAAAAAAAAATACAGAAAAGAAAGTAAAAAAAATCCACACTCCTGCCACTTAACATGATCAGCAGTCCGCCTCGCCTTTCATATATTGGGCACGGCAGCTGGACAGTAGTGGTGGTCTGGATTTTGGAACTAGGTCACCTGCGTTCAGATTTGCCACCTACCGGCCGTGGAACCTTAGGTAGGTCACTTGGCTTCTCTCTGCCTCAGTTTCCTGATCTGTGAAATGGAGATAACAATAGTAAGCCCCCTGTAGGACTGTTATGAGGATTAAGTGCACGAATATATGTCAAGTGCCTAGAACAGTACCTGGCCCAGGGTCAAACTCAGCACCGTCAACCATGGTCATCATCGTGGTTACTCCTGACTGCTCCCTGTGCTTATAAAAGCAGAGACATGCACATGTGTGTGACACACTCGCATGTGCATACGTGCACACACACATGCACACTCATGCATACCTGCATGGGCACACACACAACCCTGTGAACACACACGCACTTTCCCCCACCAACGACAGCACCATACTCTCCCTTTGGGCCTGCAGCGTGCTCTTTCCCATCCCACAATAATCGTGAACGTTTTTCCCAGTCGGCAACCTCCACCTTCCTACTGGGCTGCCATTCCTGTTAGCTGCTCCTCTCCTGGTGGACATTCGGTTGTCCTGAGGTTTCGCTGCCCACACTTACTGCTGTGGGGCTGGCCCTGGGGTGGGGTTGCACAGTTTCGATTTTCTCAGATACCGTCAAGTGGCTCACCAAGATTTGTGCCAATTTGCATTCCTCCTGACAGTGGGGGGCCACTTTCTCCACTTCCCGATGGGAGTGGGCACGTAGCACTCTGCCAGCCTAATCCTTGAGAGATGTGCTGTCCTTGTGTTCATTTTCGTTTCTGTAGTTCTTGGTGTGACGGCTTCTCATTCATGGCTGCACTGTGCAAGCGCCGTTGTGAACCATGTCAGCACATTCGTTGGCCTTGTCGGTTTGTTTTATAGCTGATCCTCTTTTTTGCAAACAAAAAAAACATGTACAGACGATCCACAACTTACTCAAGCCTGTAATTTGCCAAATTAGCACATTTAGGTAAAGATGAGTTCTAAATTTGGAACCTTAATATTGTTTCCATTTGTGATATTTTTGAAGTGCTCATTCTACAAACCGTATAACTAAGCATTAAGTCATTCATTCAAAGACTGGTTTCTGAGACCCTGTCTGTGTGAGGGTCACCATGTTTTTAGGCTTTTGGGTGACTTAGTAAACAAATTTTTTTTAAAAACTGTGCCGTATGGAATTTATGGTCTGTCCTAAATCAAGTGGGAATTGAGATCAGGGCCATGTGGCAGAAGGTGGCCGCTCCAGGCTGGAGCCCTTGACAGCCTCTTGGCGTGGGGCCAGCGACATGCTTCCTGTCCCCCAGGCCTGGGGCTGTGACTGACGACGGGCAGGGCTGGTGGGCAGATATGGCCCACGGGCCTCCACTCCCAATGCCCCTGAACTCTTCTCTATCCAGGTGGGAAAATGAAGCCCAAAGGGGCTGCCCGGCCCCTGGGTGCACACCCACCCTTCCTGGCTTCCTCCTAGGGAAGCTCCGAAGAATGAGATGAGGTGTGCATGGCCGTGTGCCTACTCAGTGCATGCTTGTTTGAATCTGGACGCACACAGCGGGCATCTTTTGGCTGGCTGAGTTTGGCAAGGGCAGAAAAGCAAGCCAGGCCTCAGGGGGCACCTGGAGAACTGAGGGGACCAGCCCTCGGCCTGCGAAGACCCAGGGAGACGCCTGCCGTCTCCTGTGCCTGCCTCCTACACGGGTTATCGAGTTAGCGAGCGCTGGCCCTGTGCTCTCAGCTCCTGGATGAAATACACCAGGAAAGGACTTCAGTGGCTTGTCCTCAGCTGTGGCCAAGCGGGTGGCAGTTGTCACCGGGCTGGCCATCACTGATGGGGCCGTGTTTACACATGGCAGCTGGTGCTGAACCACAGTGTGGCTGGGGAAGGGAGCAATTCCTCACATCCTCAGGGCCTCCCTCTGAATATGGAACCAAGTCACAGGTGTCCGAAATGCCCAGCACTGCAGTGGCCATGGTGGGCTGTGGGGAGCCATGGGGCCACCAACACTTGTGTGTGGCAAGGCCCCATCCTTCTCTCATGGAAGCTGTGTGGTCGGGTGTTCTGCACACCTGCTGCACACAGGTGCAGGGAGGTCCCCGGGGAGGATGCTCAGCCTGTAGGACCAGGCAGGCCTCCCGAGAGGGTGATGGGCCGTGTGTTCGTGTCCCTGCTGTGTAACTGATGACCACTAACTCGGTGGCTTAAAACAACAGATTTATCCCCTTACTGTTGGAGAGGCCGGAAGTCTGAGATCAGCTTCTCTGAGCTGAAGTCAGTGTCATCAGGGCTGGATCCTTCTGGACGCCCTAGGGGGGAATCCATTCCATGTTTTTTCCAGGTTCTAGAGGCTGCCTGCGTTCCTTGGCTCTGGGCTCCTTCCTTCGTCTTCTAACGCATGGCTCCAATCTCTGCTCTCGTCCCCACACCACCCTCCCCTCTTCTGCAGTCAGCCTCCACCTTGAAGGACCCCTGGGATTACGTTGGGCCCACCCTGACAATCCTTAATCATATCCAAAGCCCCTTTTGTCATATGAGGTGACATTCACAGCTTCCAGGGTTAGGACGTGGAGTCTTCGGGGGCCCTATTCAGCGACCACAGGAGAAGCCCTTGGAGGGACACACTCTGATTCTCTGGGCAGTGGTGGTGGTGGGGCTCCCAGGCAAAGAGGGCAACACATCCCCCACGGCCCGTTCCTTGCCGCACGTCGAGCTCCTGACGTCCTGCCGACCTGGCCCAGCTCTGCACTGGCTAGTTCTGGAGTGCTGACTGCTCTCCAGACAGCACGGGTCCCGTGGGGATCTACCTACTGGCCAGGGTGGCGGGAGTGAGGGACGCCGGCTACAGTGCAGAGCGGTGGACGATTGACCTTGGGTGTCACCTTGGGTGTTCCCACCTGACCGTGTGAGGGGCGAGCATGGGGTGCTGTGGGAGGTCCAGGACCAGAGAGACTGAGGAGGGATGCCTAGCGGGTGACCGCGAACTCAGGGCTGGCGGTGTGAACGGAAGAGACGGACATTGGGAGGATAAAAATCACTGGCCTGACCCTGGATCTGCTGGAAACTGGTCCACGTTGACTCCTCGGCCCTTATTCCCTCCTCGTGCTGTGACCACCTGTCGTGACAGTCCCCCTTTGAGCTCCTCAAGGACCACATCTAAATGAACTCATGTCTCTGTCGCCCGGCAGCTCCCCCAGCCCAGCACCACACTGCCAGAGGTGGACAGGCCAGCTGCCGGGGCCAGGGTGAGGGCCAGGGTCGCCCCCCCTGCAGAGGAACGCACAGCACGGCTGTCAGACAGCACCGGGGGCTCGGGGACACCCGGGACCCCGAGTGACCGCTTGTCCTCCCCTCGGCGGCTCATTCTGTTGGCAAAAATTTACATAAACGGTGCTGATTTCAGGGCAGCCCCCATACAACCCTAGGGGGGTCTCAGACAACAGTGAGCCCTGGCTGTGCCCAGTAACTCCCCTTTGTCACCAACAAGGCCCCCTATGGACTGACCTGCCGTCTGGCCCCCGCCCCGGGGAGCAGCAGGAACTCGCCTGTGTCCCCTGAAATGCCCCCAGGGCTGTGCACCACCCCGAGATCCCTGGCGGGTCTGAGAGGCCTGTGGGGTGAGGAAGGGGTAACAGGCAAATCCCGTGTCATGCGGGGCGCGTAGCAGGGGTGGGGACCCCACGGACACAGGCCTTCGTCGGCTGGCCTCCTGTACTCCTCTGCCCACACTGCACCCTGAGTAGCCCAGCTCTCTTTCCTTTGGAGGTGTTTGGCTCAGGGCTGATGGGATTGGGGGGCACTGAGGGCAGAGCCACGCAGCCAGGGCCTTGCCTGGGGAGCCGTGTGGGCGCGGTGTGCAGAGTCTTCTGGCTGGGCCCCGGGGCTGCCCACGCCGCTGTTGCTGGTGTGTTGCCGCTCTGAGCCCCGACCCCTCCCTCCTTGGCACCCTTTCCTATTCAGCTGGACCCTCTCATGGCCTAAGCTCTGTTTCCCCCTTTCCCAAATCCAACTGGCTCGGAACTTTCCCTGCCAAACCACAGCAATGATACACGGCTTGTTTCCTGGCAAACACGCCTTCCACAGCCAGCCTTCACTAGCCACAGATGGGTTCATGAGGAGATCAAGTATTACAGTGAAGCTCACAGGGGTTTTGGTTGTCCTTGAAAACGTGGTCAGCATGTTTCAGAGCAGTGTAAGCAGACTGCAGTCTGTTAACTTTGTAAAATAAAACCTCTGAGATGGGGAAAACTGAACCGATCACCTGTGGGTCTGTGATCCCAGGACACGGGCTCGCACTCGCTCACGTGGAGGTTGCAACAGAGAGAAGAGCTGCGTCATTTCCAGTTTGCGTCTGTAAGTAACCACATTTAAGTGACGCTTGGGGCTGACTCAGAAAGACAAAGGAGTTTCAAGCACTCTCCTAATATTGGAGGCAAGCCTGCCTTGAGCTCTCAGCATCCCGCTGAGGACACCACGGTAGTCCAGCCAACAGCCAGGGGGCCTCGATGCTGAGAGGAGCATCCGACTCCGCACGCAGCGCTCGGCACCCCCCCCAGGGTGTTGCAGGAGCTCCCCTGCTCCTTGTCACCGGCCAGAATCCTTCTCCCACTTTGTCACCTCTCCAGGAATGATCTCACACGCAGGTCACGCTGCCCAGGCACGCTGTGGACTTGGCATTTCCCGGCACACTGATGGAGACACCAGCCCCTCCTTTTCTCCCAGAAAGCAAAGGGGAAGGTGAGGGTGTGAAGGTAAGCAGGGGCCAACGTGGCAGTTATTAAAGTCTATTTTAAGCATCCACTGTGAAGTTTGACACCGTAAGTGTCATCAGGAACCTCCTTCATCCGTAGCTAATCGCCTGTGACTCCCCCCCAAGCCGATGACCATAAAAACCACACTTTCTAGCTGTGTTCTAGAACAGTGTGTGGCGTGAAATCTGCGGGGAAGGACCAGGTCTTTTTAGTATTTCCTCAATCTCTCTTGGGTTAGTACTTTTGTAAAACACAATAAACAGGAATTACTAAAAAACGGGCCCACACTTTGATGTTGCAGTAGTGACGAATTGCTGTGAAAGTTCTAAACCCTTACTCCCGCCCTCAGTGATCTTCTCACGGAGCAGGATGAGCAGTTGACAGACGGGCCTCAGGCTGTGGATCACACGGGGGTCGTGCTGGTAGCCCCACACCCCAGATTCTCTATTTGAGTTCCTATTTCAACCGTGAGCCAGCTTTTATTGTTATAAACCACCGGGCTGTCAAACTGCCAGCCACAACGTCCTCTTCCGACCATGGATCCTGAATTTTCCGTCAGAAGTGAGGGCACCATTGGTTTTCTCCAGCTGTTGTGTCTCTCTCTGGGGACTCCTAATGATGTGGGCGGTAGA